CAGGACATCAGAAACACTCACATCTCAAACTAGGCCAGGACATCAGACAACACCTTTTCCCCACAGATCACACAGACACACAAAGAGTTTAAAAACACTGAAGACAAACCGACTGCCTCTATAGGGCCTATATCACTTATTTTTATTTTGGTCTTATCTAACCAATTGTGTTTTTGGTAACATATTTTTAAGCTTTACTTGTTGAGTACTTTTAATTGCATGTACATTTCTTGATTGTTTCATCTATACCTTTCATTATAAAAGGTCAAAAGTGTAATTGCGATGGCCGGGAATCGAACCCGGGTCAACTGCTTGGAAGGCAGCTATGCTCACCACTATACCACCATCGCTTCACATCACTACGAAACCTGTGCAGACTCAGGACTTTCCCTGCAGAAACATTCCTTAGAGAGGCGTTGCAAGGGGGAGGAGAGGGACGGGAGAGGGGGCAAGAGCAGGAGGGAGTGGCGGGAGAGATGGGAGGGAGCAAGGGGAGGGGAGGAGACAAGTAGAGTAGCAGACAGCAGTTCTCTGCTGCCCTGAACAACGAGCCCAGAGACTCAGAGCAGACCACCACAGCCACGGTCAGCCCAACACAGCACTGGGACAGAGGAGCTGTGGAGTCCAGTTGAACTGAACGGTCATCCACACACCACCAGGAAAAGAAAACTACCTTGTCCATCTTGACGTAGGGCATGGGAGGACATCTCAGCATCCAAGAGAGGGGGAAAGTCAATTGCCAATTAAACAATCGATGAATTTCCATAGTGCTGAATTGGAGCGGCAGTTATGAGAACACTGGAACTGCCACGTCCTCATTCTCCTTTAACTGCCAGTTACAGATGGTCCACCATCAGTACCCACGTGTCATCGACTAAATGAGGGGGCACCCGGATTTGAACCGGGGGCCTCTTGATCTGCAGTCAAATGCTCTACCACTGAGCTATACCCCCGCTGTAGCACCAGGACAGTTACAGTGAGACCACATTTATTTGGTTGGGTCATGATGTTGGCTACATTGCTTATCTCTGTTCTGATGTCACCATTTGTTATATAGCTCTTTTAAACTTAATTTACATTTTAAGAAAACAATGGGATCTAGCCTATTTTTACATACATATTATTTTGCTTTTGTTTAATTGTTTGTTAATTAAATGTTTATGTCCATGCCAATAAAGCTATTTGGCATTGAACTGAAATGAGAGTCAGAACAACGCTCCGATACCGCCTCTCGACCCAAATAATGACCACATTAAGGAGGTGCCCTAATATGGACCTGCACTTACTGTTTGGGACTACTAAAGCACCATAGTATCTTATCTTAACAGGAGGGTAAACACACAGCAGCACAACACCTGACCTCCGTGGACGACCCACAGCTGAGAAAGTCCTCAACGAGGTCCAGACTCCATAGATGGGAAACAACGAGCCCTGGCTCCCCGGAGAAGACTGTGCATCCACTACAATCAAAACCAGGCGGAACCCTGCATTTTCTGACCTCCTGCCAACTATACCAGGACATCAGAAACACTCACATCTCAAACTAGACCAGGACATCAGAAACACTCACATCTCAAACTAGACCAGGACATCAGACAACACCTTTTCCCCACAGATCACACAGACACACACAGAGTTTAAAAACACTGAAGACAAACCGACTGCCATACCTGTTAGAGAAATGTGCAACAGCAGCAAGGTACGTGTCTCCCTGCGACCAGAGGAGGGCAACAAATCCAGCATTAGCTTTGACCATGCAGTGTTACTCTATGGGGCCTATATCACTTTTTTGTATTACTACAATTATTACCATTTCATTTTTTTTTTGTCTTATCTAAACAACTGTGTTTTTGGTAACATCATTTTATAAAAGCTTTACTTGTTGAGTACTTTTAATTGCATGTTCATTTATTGATTATTTCATCTGTACGTTTAGTTATAAAGGTCAAAAATGTTGATGCGATGGCCGGGAATCGAACCCGGGTCAACTGCTTGGAAGGCAGCTATGCTCACCACTATACCACCATCGCTACATCAACCCCTAAATCTGTGCAGCAAGAGCTTCCACTGTTGACCAATTTGAGAGGAGGAGTTGCAGGAGGGAGGAGAGACCAAGAGGAGGAGGAGGAGGATAGAGTAGCAGACATCTTGTCGTCCGAGGTGCGGGCAAAGTTAATTGCCAATTAAACCATCATGACCATCCATAGTAACAGTTCGCATAGCGCGAAACTGGAACGGCAGCTACGTTGGAAACACTGGAACTGCCACGTCCTCGTTTCCTCGTGCTGGTTCCAGAAGGAGGAGAGAGCAGGAGGACAGCAGACAGCTCTCTCCTGACTGATACCCTCAAAGTTTAAACCACTAAAGACCCGAAAGGACGACGGACCCGTGAGGTCCAGTGCGCTAGCAGACAGTTTACCCGAACGACCATTCACAAACCATTGAACAACACAGCCATTAAATAAATAACCCGAAGTGCTTGAATCGCATCGACATGTCCAGCCTACCTTCACGTCGCCGTGTAGCTGGGATGCTGCACTCCGGACCCGCCTGACCCACAGGTGTG